CTTGATTTTGGTTTGGACAGGGATAGGGGCGTTCTTCATAATTAATTGAGGACACTCACAGGGAGATTGTTTTAACGTGAAAGTAACTTGTACAGATTTTTTTGTATTAATTTTTTTACTTTCTATTTTTTTGGCCAATTCTTCAATTTTATTAGCATGATCCTGGAGTTCAGCTGAAGCTAGAATAGGATTTGGACTGGAGGAAAGAATAGCTATGTCATCAGCGTATGTTGCTTGAAAAATGTTACTAGATTGAGGGATGTCTTATGTGAATACATTATACAGATCAGGGAATAGATCACTATCCTGTGAAACTCCAGCATATATTGAGTGAGTAGATGAAATATCGTTACCCTATCGTACGAAAAACGAACGATTTTGTAGGTAAGATTTGGTAATAAGATAGTAGGGAGCTGGCATGAAAAGTTTTAATTTGTATAATAAGCCATCGTACCAGACTTTATCGAATGCTTGAGCAATATCTAAAAAAAATCCGGAACAGTATTCTTTATTTTCGAGAGCAGTTAAGATTTCATTAGTATGACGATGAACTCGATGGATTGTTAAGTGCCTGTTTCGAAAACCGAACTGATTATTCTGTATGATATGGTTGTTTTGAAGGATGGGACGTAATTTTTTCAGGAAAGCCTTTTCGAAAAGTTTACCAAGGACTGGAAGTAAACTTATGGGACGGTATGATGAAAATAAGTGTTTAGGTTTATTTGATTTGTGTACAAATATAATGACTGCAAATTTCCAGATTTTAGGGAAGTGGGACAATCTTAGCATAGAATTATATATGTGGGTGAGCAATGATAAAGTTTTGAGAGACAGATTTTTCAGAATTTTGTTTGTAATGAGGTCATTTCCAGATGCCTTGCCTGGAGGTAATATTTTAATTATATACTGAATTTCACCAGGAGAGATGGGTTTTGCAGATAGCGAAGCTGATAGAAATTGTTGAATTTCAATAATTGTGTCATTTTCGAGATCGGTGCAGGAATGAGGCTGGAATGTTTCAGCTAATTGAGAAGTGAAGATGTTAGCTTTGTCTTTATCTGTAATAGCTAATTGACCATTTTCTTGTCGGAGAGGTGGGATTTTTTTTCTGTGTCTGTTGAGCCTTATTGTTGCTTTCCAGAGAGCAGTTATTTGGTTGCAAGGATTTAATGTATAATTGAAACTGTTCCGATTTGTGGATCTGTAGTTTACATTTCAAAAGATTTGTTAAGAAATTTAAATTTTTTTTTTATGACTAGGCAACCTAGTACTTTGCTATTTAGCTCGAGCATGATGTTTATTAATTATTATTTTATGTCAGCAGATAGGTTTTTGGAAGGATTTTAGATGAGTGGGTTGATAGATGATGAAGCTTTGATGGCTGCTTGCTGGATTGTTCGAACTATACCTTCGGCAGCATTGTCTATATCAGAATGGGTCTTAAGTGCTACTTTTAGATTAATAGTTTGATCCAGATTAAATTTGATTTTGTCCCAGTTTATTGGTCCATTAGTAAAGGAAAATCTAGAGTTTAATAGAACATCACCAATAGTCGCTTGATAGATCACAGATATTTTCGATGTAAGTATTTAGGAGATTGGGGATTTTGGTTGTATGTAGGATTTGGTTCGGAAATTAATGACAAATGGTTTTTGATCAAGGATCTATGGAGAGCAGAACCCCTTTGGTTAAAAGCTCTGCTTCCCCAAAGAGAGTGTTTGGAGTTAAAGTCACCACCAGCTATGAATGAATGACCTAATAGTTGAAAGTACCTATTGAAGTCCTCGAAATCAATTTTGTTACGCGGTGGGCAGTAGATAGAGGCAATTTTAATCGGTGTATTTTTTATTTATATGGAAATAATTGTTGCTTGTATATGAGGTTCTTGAAAGCCTAGTAGTTCATGGTTTTTTATTTCGGAAGAAATAAGTATTGCGGTGCCAGCATGGGAAGAACCATCAGGATGGTCGGTTTTGTATAGTGAGTAGCCAGGTATATTAAAGTATGTTTTTTGGGTGAAATGAGTTTCAGTTATGAGGGCTAAGTGTATTTTTTTTTTCATTCATTTTTTTTCATTCACGAAAACTTAAAATACAATAGTAATTAATAATTATGGTTGATTTAATTTATAGGTAGATACAATGTACATGATAAAAAGTATAGAGTTTGAGTTCGAGTTCGACTTCGAGTAAAATCATAATAGGTTCGGTTCAGTTCGGTAGAAAATATGAAGGTTTGGTTCAGTTCGAGTTCGAAAAAATAATTTAAAGTTCGGTTTGATTTAAAAAAATCAGGGTTCGACCCATCACTATTGCCAACTATCTTCATATATACATTAAAGTTCTTGTCACTATTATTTAAATATAGCAAATTATAATAAAATAAGTTAAATTTTTACAGATGATTTTTGTTTTAAATTGAACAATGTCGTTTAATTAATACCTCAATCCTTCCAATTCAATATCCGCTTTTCTGAATATATTTAATACTTTATTGAACCATTTTATTGTTTTCACTCACCGACCATCATGGGCGCCCAAAGGGGGGGTGTAAGACGGAGAATTTTCTCCCTTCTGGAAAAAGTTAATTGAACAGTTAATGTCAAGGTTTGCAATTGAACAATTGTGAAGATTTCAGTTTTTATTAACGACTAAAGTGTATATAATTCTGACATATTTTATTATTTGCTGAGAATACATTTCCCCGTGTGGTCCGGGGTTAGAATAGAACTATGAGCTGTTCTCCCAGTCGTAAGAGGCGATTAATAAGAACACCGGAAATCTCCCGGGATAAGGAGATCCCTCTACAAAGCCAATAGCTTTCGAAGCAGATGAGCTGCGTAGAGTAGGGCACTCTTATGCTCTTGAGTTGGTAAACCGGCTCTAAAGACGGAAGAACCACGGAAGTGGTCAATGGCATAAAGATGTAGAAGGTAGAGGACAACCACTATATTAAAGATCCTACAGGATAGTCCTTGTAAAATCATTTATGGCAATGTACAAAATGAAATTAAATTTCGGAGTAAGTACTCTATTCGGATCTCCGGAGAGGACAGTTATGAGTGTGAACAAGAATGATGAGTCAACCAGTTTCAAGCAGCCCTTAAAATATGTACCTGGAATGTTAGAATAATGGCACAAGCAGGCAAAATAGATAATACTATCAAGGAAATAAAGAAGATGAAGATAGAAATTATGGGTATAAGTGAGATGAGATAGCCTAGATCAGGGAATATAGAAAAGGAAGGATAGAGAGTATTCCATTCAGGCTCAACAGAAAGAAGATTTGAACGAGGAGTTGGGGTTATAACATCGAAGATGATGGACGAAGTGTAAAAAAACTTTATACCAATGTCAGATAGGGTATTACTTCTGCAGGTACAATCAAACCCGGCCAATATGAATATTATACAAATATATGCCCAAACAGCAGACAAAAATGAAGAAGAAGTAGAGATATTTTATAAAAATATACAAGAGGTTTTTTGTCGTCTTCCTAAAAGTAATCTTAATATTATAATGGGTGATTTCAATGCCAAACTAGGGAAAGAAATGAAGATAGCTTTTGTCGGTCCTCGTGGACTTGGAGAAAGAAATGAAAGCGTTGATCAACTAGAAATGTTTGCGGAAGAAAATGAACTTGTAGTGCTTAACACATTTTTTCGGCTTCCACCAACAAGACTCTACACATAGAAATCGCCAACAGATAAAACAGAGCAAATTACCCGCAACCAAATAAATTTTTAATTTACTTTTTGATTTTTGATTTAATTATGCCTTCCCCTGATAAATTTCCTGCGGGCGCCCATGCTGACCATTTAAATAAATTCAAAACAAATTTACCATAATTGTTACCATTAATTATACTTAATCTTTATTTTTATAACCAATGGTGTAGTGCAGGGAACACGGACTTCTTAATTTTATAATTATCTGTAATTCTCAACGAAAATCGTAGTACGTGTAACGAACAATACGTATTAACGTAACCCAGTAATTAATATTTATATTATGTAACATTTATTACATTTTGATATTCAATGAGTAAAAAAAGATGTGTTATTTGTTTAATTCACTGGTAAAAAATATATTCTAAAAGGACTTTTAGAGGACTTAAATTTTTAAAGTTTACTTGTACCACTGTTATAGATAGTATTTACTTTAATCGTGATTTGTACAGAGACCGTTTGTACACAAATCTATTTTTAAACCATTTGATAACGTTTACAATATTGTACATACATTTTTTTACAATGATTCAGGCGTGTACCCATAAACTTGTTTTGGACTACATCACTGGTTATACCTTATACAATCTTTTATTGTTATAAAATAATATAATACCCCTATCATTATTATTTATTTTAATTAGGCAATATATATAGAACCTTATGCCATTTTATTATATATAACTGTATAACTGTCTGATTATATTTAGATATATCTAATTATTTTGACTATCGACCTATACTAGTTTATTTTAAAAGAATAAAAATAAAAAAAATAATTTATATACATATATTATAAAATATGTAGGTTTTTAGCATTTATAAATTTTCATATAAAATATCCTGCATTTAATAAATGTACGATGTATAAAATATATATAATGTATTTAAATTTCTTTTTTATTAAGTAATGATATTGATCTCGCTAAATATTAATTATTAAAAAATTATAAAGTGTCTTTATTTTAATTATATATATTTTGATTAAAAAATTATATTATAATTAATAACCATTGGATAATCATTAGAATCTTAAAACCTTTTATTAAAACTAAAATATATTCTAAAATGATCTGTATTAATAAAATATATGGTTTTTTTAATTATTAATAAACTGATTTTAATAATTATTAAAATTTTCATTTTTAAATCTTATCGTTAAGTATACATTTTACCAAAAAATATTTGTAGCTAATTTTGTACTAGTATTATTTAAATGACGTAATGCTCTCACGTTAAGTTATAATTATTTGAACGATTTTGTTTTATTAAGGACAACAATGAAAGATAGAGGATTGGAGATGATATCACTTCTAAAAGATTTTCATGTCGGACACAATCCCATTACTTGGGTTGGTCATTCTAAAGGAGGATTGTTCATAAAACAAATATTAATACACGGTATTATTTACTTTAATCGTTCTACGTTGCTTGGGTATATACTTAAACATAAAAATATAAAATATATGTAATTATGTAATTTTAGCTTCTGAAAACCAGCAAACTCACCAAATAATAGCAAATACTAAAGGGATATTGTTTTATAGTGTGCCTCATAATGGATCTCCATTGGCTAACATAAAATTACCGTTGTTTGAACGATCTATAGAACTGCAAGAACTGGTTAACGGTAGGTAATAATATTTGTAATTTAATCTGTAATAGGTACATTATTATGGTATATTACTAAATAATATATTAAATCATAATTATGTTTTGTCATAAAGATACACAAGATATACAAAAACTACAGCAAACGTTTCACGAGATGATGAACAATAATAAACAAATACAAGTCAAAAGTTTTATTGAAACTAAGTTGACTTTGATGAAACTTATTTATTTAAGAATTGTTTCCATACAATCTGCAGGTACATTATACTATAAATAATATATAGTATATATTATATAGCTGAAATTGATTACCTCGCCCCGGAGATATTTTTAAAGATATAAATATTCAGATAAAACCAATAATATTATAATTTATGATGAAAAAAAAACGCAAAATCTTCGTATATTCTAATAATACCTATATTATTTTAATTTATACTTAATAATTATACTATATTAATTTACAGATACCTAAATCTACAGTTATTAAAATTAACATATTAAATAAAATAAAATATTTCCAAAAATTAATAATAACCATTCTAAATGGGAAACAAAAAAGTAAAATATGTTTAATGTGTACATGCAGCATAAATTCCAAAAAATTTTCTTTACTCAAAATGCTATTTTCGAAAATTCCATTATTATTACAGTATGGTACGAATTAGTATGGTTTTTTTGGTTATATGCTGATCAATAAATGAGTGAACGGTAATTTAATTATATAATATATTATATATATATATATATATATATATATATATATATATATATATATAT